GCGCGCGCTGCGCGCAGGGTGCAGACCCGCGAGTCTGCGCAAGGCAACCGTTGCCGACGAATTCGGATTGTCGAATTGAAAAGCCGCGGTTTCCTTACGCGTCAGTGTTTTCGATTAGCTGTTAACTGTACAACCAAGAATGCGTTGCCTTGGTTTTGGCATCAGTGTCGAACATCGCATGTTTGGACTCGCGGTGGCGCCCTCGCCCGCCGCGAGCGCTCCCTGCTGAGGCCCCCTTGCGCATCGCTCAAGAAGTTCAACAACAATTATTCGGAATGGCGCGGCTTCATGGCAGATTACCTGGACGTGGACGCAGCCGAAGCAAAGAGAGCACTATCAAGAATCTTCGGCTTGGGAATGCCAGAAACCGAAGCGCCATGCTTGCGGCCCCTTGCCTCGGACGTCGCGCAGGCGGCGCATCTGGTCTTGCAGATGCCAGACAACGCGCATCTGATGGGCACGTTCAGTGACCGACCAAACCCACGAGCAACGCGGTTCTTCTATGCGGTGTCGAAGCTAGAAGACAAGCTGATCACCAGGGTAGCTGATTACATCCTCAAGTTGGGTTGGAGGCCCTCTGCCATGTTGTTTGACAACGTATATCCCATTGCGGCGCGCGCATATCCGCCACCGATTTTATGCTTGGAAGGCCGAGAACGCAGGGACTCGGTGACAAAAATGAAGGCATCTTGGGCTCGATACGCCAGGGGGGCCCAGCTATTGCCTCACGAGGAGCGAAGGGGCTCGACACGCACCTACCGCTGCAAGCGCGGTGGCGGATTTTCAATGTTCGACGCCCCCTGACCTCGTGGATGATGCGGTGGCCGACATGCACGAGACTTTCGGGCATGCGTTCAAGGTCGGGAAGCCGCAGATTACGCCGGCGTTCGGCTACGTGTGTTTTGGCTTACGTTGCGGCACAGTGGGGGCGGGGGTGATCTTGATCGGTACTTAGGCCTGCAACAATGCTTCTATGACTCGCTCAGCTACATTGGTTGGGATTCGCCGTCTGCGCCCCCTTCAGCGGGCCCGCGGGCTGCTCGTGAGTTCAACGCGCTGCAGACTCGCAGCCGCCAGTGCCAAGCTCATGTTTATCACCTCCGCCACGTGGAAGTCGGTGACATGCAGGCGTTGCTGGCGATGGAAGACAAGAGGTATCTTTGCTGGCAGCCTCACCTAGAAAACGACGGCCACTTCTTCGCTGCCGCAATTCTCAAGAACCGCGTGATCTCTGTCATGGAAAGCGCCGTTGGCCAGCAGATTGACGCGCCTCCGCGTGAGTTCCGGATGGATTGGGCAAGGGTTGGTCGACTTGTATTTTTCGTGTAGGAGTTTTCATCAGCAGAAGACGCGCCTGTCATGGGCGGCGAGCACGACCTCGCCGGCGGCGGCGCCAGTGTGCCCAAGAAGGGAAAGCGCCGCATGCATGCGCGGCCTAAAAAGCTGGACAAGAAGAAGTGGTCAGCGCTGTGGAAGAACAACCCTTACGCTAGGCACGGCCAACCGACCCGTGGCCAGATGTCTAAAGCGAGGTGGTCGCGCAGTGCGAAGCGACTTCCGACCTTCTCCGAAAAGCATATCATCGCGGAGATGACGACCGCTGGTTGCTTGAAAGATTGACCTCAGCACGCGCGCCCTCATTGTGGCGCGGGCGAAGTGTTTGCGGCTTGAAACCAACCCCTAGCGCCACTGGCGCAAGCCAAATAACGGCTTGTTTATGATTCATAGCTTTGGCAAAACGTAAAACTGATTGGGCAAGTGCAAGGGCCAGGTTTCAAGCCGCTCAAGGTGTCGAAGCTTCAACGCAGGACAAATGGGGCATGGGCCTACCGCTGCTGCAAGAAGTCGTGCCAGATGTACATCCTGCTTCACGCTTACCATCCAGTGCTGTCGTCTGCCTGGGGCAGGGACAACGTCAGCTTGAAAGACCAGATGCTCGTGCTCTTCTATTTGGTCGTGGGGCATACGACAGCCCAAGACCATTTGCTGCGGGAGATAAGTCGAGATTTCGTGCCGAACATGTCCAGCAAGCTTGGCATGGCCAGGCAGGAGTTCGTCCTGCGCGAGGAGAAACAAATCAAACCGGGTGATCATTACAAACAACAGTGGCGGGATGTAGAGACAGGCGAAGTTTACTTCGGCAAAGAGCAGGTCGGTGACAAAATGAGGTGGGATCAATGGGCGGGCATTGTTGAACGCGGCCGTCCTGAGTATCTGATCCTATTCAAGACGTCGCCAAAGCTGACGAAGCCTCGCGCCCCAGGCCCACGCCCCACCACGGGGAAGGATTGGGCGCCGACGGCCAAGAAACACTTGCAAGGGCGCCAGATCCTGCTTCACACGGACGGCGCCAGGGCTTACATACTCGGAATGAACCGAAAGAAGAAGCTCGACGGCGTGGTGCACGACTACGTCGTGCACTAACTTTTTTCTGAAAAAGAAAAAAGGGGTAGTGGCAACAAACTCAAGGCGACGTGCGTTCAGCTCTTCTCTCACTGCATCGAAGGGAACACTGACTGTCCACGCGAAGGGGGGCACGCATATCATCGACCGCTGCTGGAGGTGTTTGCGGAAACACATCGGGACTCGCTCTTCCACCGCTTTAGGCGCCTGGAAGTACAGCGCCCGAGCTCGCGCTGCGCAGTGGCACTACTGGCACATCGGACCTGACCTTTGGGAGAAAACAAGCGACATGTTTCGGGCATTGCTGTGAAGCCTCTGCGTTCGCATTGCGACGGTTTGTAGAGGCCTCGCGGACAGCTGCTTGGCGCTCGCTAGCCAGACCGCAGACGAGTTTGAAAACAGACGTAACATCCTTGAGCACGGGATCGAAGTCCACAGGAATCATGCACCTGTTTGCGTGCTGCCAACGTTCGGTGTTCTCGAGTCAAGCCAAGTAGAGTGAGTTCAATTGTCCACTGAGGGCTGGTCAGATTGCTGGGCGGAGAAAAAACAACACTCGCCTATGCGAGTGCGATCGCTGCTCGGCAACGGGAAAGAAGGACAGAGCGCTCGCTCGCAAGGAGTTTCCCGACATGGGTCCGTGGTGGCATGCGGATTTTCCCATTGTGGTTTTCGGTTGAGCTGCTTACGAAGCGTGAAACGTGTGCGGGGTGTGCTGAAACGGATTTGATAGCGCTGTGCATCTTTCCACATAGACATGTTCTTCGCATTGTTTTTTGTAGATCGGGGCACAAGAGTAATCCTGTTGTGAGCCTGTACAAGAGGATTCCTATTAAACGGCTTGAATGGGAATCCTCTTGGAAGCTCTTCAAAAGGGTTCTTTGTGTTCGGCGCTACAAAAGGATTCCTAGTGTATCCCAGGCAATAGGAATCCTTTTTGTAAACCGGTACAAAAGGAATCCTTGTGTAGGGTATTACAAAAGGATTCCTACTGTATCCCAGGCAATAAGAATCCAATTATCGGCGAACCTTTTCGGAACCCTCGCCGACGGGAAAAGACAAAAAAAAACAAAAAAAAACAAAAATGACAATCTGAGAAAGCAAAAATGCTGTGCTTTTAATCGTAAAGCTGTTTTTCAATTGAAAACCAGCCAAAAAAAACACAAGCTGGAACCAAGGAAACCCTGTGTTTTCACAGTGTCTGCGCCTCCTCAAATTGATTTCGATTGGTCAGCGCACAGTAGAATCCTTGGGTGAGCCTGTACACAAGGATTTCTATTGGACGGCATTTAATTGGAATCCTTTTGAAAGCCTTTCAAAAGGATTCCTTTTGCTTGGCGCTACAAAAGGACTCCTATTGTATCACAGGCAATAGGAATCCTTTTGTAAACCGGTACAAAAGGAATCCGATTGAAAGCCATCCACCGACGAAAGCGCCCGCAAACCTCAAACCTCGCACAAAACTTTCCCGACTAACCGTTTGGGCCCTGGACCCCTCCCAGGGTGCGTTCTGACCATGATTTCGTAGAGAATCCAGCCGTAGCGACGAGAGCTCTCCGGGACTAGCAGCGGCATCGGCACCTTTTCCTCCTCTGATCCCCCCCCCTGACCCCATCCTGCGAGGCGCAAGATTTATCCATATCCACCGCCTGGGAACCGACGTCCTGGTGCCCCAGCGGGCGGTGGATCTGGATATATTTCGACCGGGGGCCCAAATATGTCCATATCCACCGCCTGCCGAGGCTCCGAAAACTGACCTTCCAGGCAGTGGATATGGATAAATTCCCGCCTCGGACATCCCCACCTCTAACTTTGCCCCTGATCGCCACCCCCGCGAGGCCTTGACCCACCCGCCCCGAAGCTGGAAAACCGCCGAGGACCGACGAAAACGTCAGAGACCCTCGAACCGCGAACCCTCTGAGAATATACTCGTCCTCTCCTCCCCCTCCACCAGAGGCCTCCCAGATGGGGTCCGAGCAGATGGGGTCGGAGGATCGCGCCGCATCGCCACTGCATCGCTGATGCGTCGTCAGTCCATCGACGATGCACCGACGACGTCGCCGATGCATGGGCGACGTCGGCGTGGAGAACCTCTGGCTCCACATCGAGCCGCGCATCGCCGATGCGAAGCAACCCTTCTACCCCACCTACTACCACTCGGACACCATGTGGGAGGCCCAGATCAACGCTGCCCCCGACCCCCTTCTTTTCTCCCAGCGAAATGAACCAGTGACCCTCTGTGCGACGAAGGCTTTGCAAAGGCAAGATGCGTCTGTCACGAACCACACACCTCTTGGAGGTGGTGAGCTCGCCAGAGGGCCCGCACAAAGCTGAGTGCCCGATGTGATCCAGACATGGCTCAAGACGAATCGGTTGCTGGAGAAGGCACGCCAGGACTGCTGCCCCTGACTGAAGGGGCCCTGGGACACACAAAGAAATACACACAAATGACAGGATTCCCCATATTTCCTCATATTTTCTTGATGTTTGCCTTCCCCTCCACTTCACATATTTTCCCACATTTTCCTGAGGATCGACGATAAATTGTGTCTGTGTGTTTTTTTCCCCCTCCTGACAGACCCCCACCCCCGCGAGGCCTTGAAAAGGTCGTCCCTGGTCTGCCCCGGCTTGCGCGGCAGGCCTCCAAGGGGCGCGCGCGGCCGCGGGGGCGCCCAGGGGCGTGACCCCAGCAGAGCACCCCCAACAGCAGCAGTGGAGGGGCAGGGCGAGGAGTGCCAGGAAGCAACTGCTGGGGGGCCTTCGTCGGAAAGATGAATAAGGAGGATTGAGCCCCATGGCGGGGCTGTTACGCCAGAGTGGGCTTCGGATTCAGCGGGATTGAGCCGGAATGAGCGGGATAAAGCGGGATTCAGCCGGATGAAGCCGGACTTCGGACCAGGGTAAAATCAGAATTGTACCTCCCAGGAGTTGCATCCGAAGGAGTGGGAGTGGGACGCACCCAGACGCCCCCGGGCTGCGAACAGAATCACGATGGAAGGTTTGTCGCTATGTTCAGCCTCCAGTGGCCCTCACTGGGCATCGGGACCGTCAAAAAAGACTCGGGATGAAAAACCGGTCCCAGGGAACAGGACCAGACCTCTGGGTGTCGACGTTGCAAAAAAAAAAAATAAATAAAAAAACACGACGTGCGTCCGAGCGTGTACTATAAGAAAGATTTCCGAGCGTGCGCGTCCCTTGCGTGGCCGACGCACATATCCGCCACCGTCCATGCACGGAGTGGGCGCGTTAGAATGCTCGTCTGCTGTCTGGGAGGATTTGTCCCCCCCCTCAACTCACGCGCGCCTCAAAAAACGCCCCCTCTGAAATTGCTTTCCGCCAGTCTTTCGGCCTCCAGACGGCCAATAGGCCTCCAAGACGGATCCGAGACAGCCAAGACGACAACAAAACGGATCAAGATAGCCCACGACAGCTCAAGAGTCTCTCAGGAGAGCCTCAAGACGGCTCAAGACAGCCCAAAAGGGCCTCAAGACCGCCCAAGAAGCCCCCAAGACGGCCCGAGAGAGCTCCAGGAGGCCTGTCTGGAGAGCCCCTTGGTGTCAAAACAATTGACGTCCCATGGATGTTTGAAGGATTTTGAGGCTCTCGTCTGTTCGGGTTTCCGACCACCGAAGACAGCCCAAGAGGCCTCTCTGGGCCGTCTTGTTGCTCTCTTGGAGCGCTTCGAGGTCGCCTGGGGGCCCGAGAGGCTTCCCAAGGAGCCTCCAGGCTAGCTCCAAGAAGGCCCAAGTGGCCCCCAAGAGGGCCCCAAGTCGGTCTAGACAGGCACCCCAGGCGGCCTCCATAGACGTCAGACGGGCCAAGAGTCCCCTAAGACGGCCCACAATGCCCCAAGAGGCCCCCAAGAGGCCCTATCAGGCCCCCAAGAGGCCCCCAAGACATTCTTCAGGAAGCTCCCAGGAGGCCCGCAGGAAACCCCAGCAAGACCCCTAAAAGCCTTATCCTCCTCATTTTCATGTTCTCCCTCCTCTTCCTCCTCCTCCTCCTCCTCCTCCTCCTCCTCCTCCTCCTCCTCCTCATCATCATCATCCTCATCCTCCCTCCTCCTCCTCCTCCTCCTCTTCCTCCTCCTCGTCCTCCTCCTCCTTTTCCTCCTCTTCCTCCTCTTCCTCTTCCTCCTCATCTGCCTCCTCTTCCTCCTCCTCGTCCTCCTCCTCCTTTTCCTCCTCTTCCTCCTCTTCCTCTTCCTCCTCGTCTGCCTCCTCCTCCTCCTCCTCCTCCTCCTCCTCCTCCTCCAGACGCTCTCCTCAGCCAGTTTCTAATCCACCGACACCCAGAGCCTAGGCCCGAAGAGAAGGGGGGTGGGAGGCGGGGCGGGGGTAAGGGCAAGGGCCGAGGGACAAGAAGAAACAGCCGTCGAGATGTTGGAGCAAGCGCTGCTCGGCCTAGTGCCCCCTGCGTGGGGGCGATGTGCGGCTGGGCCCGATCGCTGGTCGGCGACGGCAGGCCCTCGGTGCGAAGTGACAGACTGCCAGACTGCCAGACTGCTGTGGAGTCTCAGCTGGGTCCCGAAGGAGACTCAGTAGCGAGGCGCAGGGCCACAAGTCAGCGGGCATCCGAGGCTGGTTCGGGTTCAGGTTCCTCCTCCTTCTCCTCCTTCTCCGCCTCCTCCTCCTCCTCCTCCTCCTCCCAACCGCGCGGACTACGACGAGGTCGGGATCACGACCCGTTCCAATGCAGGCTACTCGTCGGAATCGCACTGCTTCTACACTCAGCCTCCTTCCTGCTGCGGTGTTGCACAGGCACGGTGGAGGGGTTTGCCGCAGGCAGCTGAATAGTAGGAGTACGCGTGCGTGGTGCCAATACTAGCAACAAAGGTGAGGAGGCGGGTCCAGGCGCAGGAGGCCGGCTGGCTATAGGCTATAGGGGACAGGGGCGAGAGCATGGCAATGTGCGCCTCAGTGTTGGCGTGCGTTTCACCAGGGGTCGTGGTCGCCCTGACCAAAACTGCGGCCGGCACTGGGGCAAGAACACGATTCCTGAACAAGCTGTGCGGGCGTCTCAAGAAACCGGAAGCCGCCGCCGCACCGGGCCGCACCGGGCCGCACCGGGCGGTGCAGAGCTCCCCGCCGCCCCCCGTGTGGGACTCTCCTCCGCAGTCTCGAACACCCTCGCGAGACGCCGTGGCGGGCCTCCAGAGGGCGGCGGCGCCCTCCCCCCGCCGAGGCGAGGGGAAGGCCCAGATCTCCAGGGAGCTGGTGTGCTCGGTCTGGTCGGTCTCGGGGGCCCGCTCCTGGGCCCCGGGGCCCAGGGAGAAGTGGGCCCGCGACGGGGAGCCGCCCCCTTCGGGCAGGGGTCGGGCCCTTCCGGGGCCGCGCGCCGAACACCTGGCGTGCCCAAGCCATCTGCAGCTGGTGGCCACGGCAGCTGGCCAAATAAATAAATAAATAAATAAATAGAGCTCAGATTAAGATGGCGAGCGGGGATAAGATCGAATACAGCAGTCACCTGGCCACCGCAAGGGGCGATGGGACTCCCATCGCGCCCGCTCCCTGGCAGCAACGAGGAGATGCGACACCACCGCCACCACCAGCGCGAGGAGCCAGGGCGAGCTCGTCCCGGTGGTGTGGCCCCCTCCCTCCCTGAGATCCGAAGCTGCATAAAAAATCTGTTTGCGTCATGTCTCGACCCGGATCGATCTGTGAGGGGGTCCTAGGGCCCGAAGCGAAAACGCCAGTTGTGAAACACTTCGCAACGCCAGGATCTCAGGGTCCCCGCTCGAGACATCCTCCACCCCCAGCTCCGACGAGGCCAACGGTGACGGCTAAGGCCGCGGCCGCGGACCAGCTCAGGGGGGGAACCATCGAGATGGAATCGGCGATACATTGCCAGTAGATCAGCGATATACCCCCGATAGCGAATCCAGACGTTCCTGGGCGGGGTGGGGTATCAAGCACCTATCAGCGATGAATAGGCGTTTGCAGGTCGATGCATTCCCCCCTGAGCCTATCCCTCCCCTATCGTTGCCCCTGAATGCCGCGGCCGCGCGCGCACCGAGCAGCGAGGACGCCGTCTCCAGCCACCGCCTGGCCAAGGCCAGGGCAGGCGAGTCGATCATGTGTGGAATTCCGGGTAGCGCGCGGTGCACCGACAGCTCGGAGTGGACAATGCCAATGCCACCAAGCTTCCAGGGCCAACGCGCTCCCGGAATCGACATGTTACATGGATGGGCGGCAGGAGCCCAGACTTCAGCAGCCGTGGACGCATCGAAACTACAGACCTGAAGAGCGTGAGTCGCGCTGGATGACCAGCCCAGTGGCTTGGTCTGGTGCGCACCCGCGCAGGCCGCACCCGCCCCCCGGGCAGAAAGCGCCAGCCTGCCGGCAGTTGCCGGCCGCCCCCCGGCGCGGCCGCGGGCGCCGCGGCAGCAGCCGAGCCGGGCACGGATCCAGGCGCCGGCGAGCAGGTGCCGGCAGTGAGCGGGCAGAGGCGAGCGGGAGCGTGCTCGAGGAGGCACCGGCGAGGAACGGGGCGGGCGCCCAGCCGCAAGGGCGGAGCGGCGCGCCGCCAGGCGAGGGGGCGCGGCGGAGGGAGGTGCCGCGCAGTGGCCCAGAAGCCCGCGCCAGCGCCGGCAGGGCGCCCCCCGGGCGCGCCCTGCAGCCCGAGCAAGCAGGGAGCCCATCCGGCGGGCCCGACTCGCCCCTCCTCGCCTCTTAACCAGCCCCACGCAACTGGAGCAGAGAAACAGGCAGGAGGAGGAGGTGACTGGAGGAGAGAGCGGAGGAGGAGGAAGAGGAGGAAGAGCAGTGTAAACCCAAGACTCACCAACGATATTGAAAGACACCCTCCCGCCAAAACCCCTCTTCATAGGTCCCCACGAAGGGTCATTCCACTGAAAGAATTGCCCCGTTGGGGGACAACCGTGTGAACATCTTGAAGCGTGCCAAAACACCACTCTCAGGACTTCAACGCCCCGAATCAACCTGACTGTTGCGTCTTGGCGATCCCGAATCGCGCCAGAAACCCGTTCATGGGACTTCAACACCGCGAATCAACGTAACTGTTGCGCTCTGACAATCCTGAACTGCTCCAAAACACCCTTTCTGAAACGTTAACCGTGAGAATCAGTGAAATTCTTGCGAACATTCAAAACGAATGTGCGCGGCGCCAAGGCGAAGAGTCACATGTTGAAAAAGAACCGCCCTCAATCAGCGAAATGATTGCAATGTTGTTCGAACGAATGCGCGCGGCGCTAAGGCGAGAGCCACATTTTGAAAACGAACCGCCCTCAATACATGAAACTCTTGCACATGTTTGAAACGAATTTGCGCAGCGCTAAGGCGAGGACCACATTGTTTTAAATGAACCGCCCTCAATCCGCTAAACTCTTGCACATGTTGTTTGAACGAATGTGCGCGGCGCTACGGCGAGAGTCATATTTTGAAAACGACCTGCTTGCAGATATTCAAAAAGAGGGCGCGCGGCGCTAAGGCGAGAGCCACGTTTTGAACACCACCCGCCCTCAATCCGTGAAACTCGTGCAAATGCTCAAAACGAACGTGCGCGGCGCTGAAGCGAGAGCCACATGCTGGAAGCGACCCGCCCTCCATCTGTGAAGCAGTTGCCGATGTTCCAGGGTCATCAATGGTGAAGAAGTCTCAACCGAAACGCCTGGCCCGCCCGTTCGACCAGCCTCGGGGTGCGACAGGGAGGAATAATATACGAGGAAAAGGAATGGACGAGGAGGAGGAGGAGGAGGAGGAGGACGGCGACGGCGGCGGCGAGGACTTTGGGGAGATCTCCTCCCCACGAAGATTCGGCCACCTTGCGCTGTCCCCCGGAAGGGGGTCTGGCAGAGGGCTCAGACGTTGCGGTTCAGAGAAGGCCAGCGGGGAGGGACGAGCACAAGGAGGAGGACGAAGAGGCGGAGGAGGAGGAGGAAGGAGGAGGATAGAACGCTGCGAGCACAAATCATGAAGTCCGCTCAACGAGAAATGAGGACGAGGAGGAGGAGGACGGAGACCAGGAGGAGGGGCCTCTGGAGGAGGAGGACGACGACGACGGCGGCGACGAGAGCAGGGCCGACGCGCTGAGGACGGCGCTGCCCCGCGCCCCCACCCCCCAAGGGGGCAGCCGCGCCAGCGGTCCTGCGGGGATCAGCACCAGGTGCGCCCCCGTGAGGGGCTCCTGCGGCGCGCTGTTTTCACGAACTCGGCGCCTGTACAGTCGGACTTGATTGGAGAGGACACGCGAGAGGACACAAGACCCTTCCGAGGGCCACGTTGCCACAGAAATGCAGGAGGCATGGGTCGCAAAACACAGGACACAAAGGTACCCTTGATCTGGCAGGGTCGACCTACTAATCCGGGCCGCCTGTTTCCCACGGACAGTCCGCAAAGTCTCTGAGGGGTAGCGCTGGTCACCTCTCAGGTCCCGCCTCTCTGGACCCGGAAGGGCTAGCCCAGGGCCGATCGGATCGGCCAGATCGATGCAGCCGCCCGTTTTGGCACGATCGAAATCGAAATGCTTACATGCAAGGAGAATCGACACCGAATTGAATCGGCACCGTCGAGTCCATCGACCTGGCTCACTCGTTCGCGCGAGGGCCCTGGGGCACGCGCATCAGGGCTTGACCTAAACATCGTTGTTCGTTTCCGACTGGTGTTAGTTGTCCCTCGCCTCGTCTCCGCTCCGCCTTTGCCGCAAAGCGATGTCGAACCGAACATGGCCCACGAAGTCGCCGAGGCACCGTTTAGGTCGAACCCTTGGGGCTGGGGGAAGCCAGTCGTGACCCCATCCACGGCGCCTGGGTGCCGCGGGCCCTCCCACCGCCACGGCAGAGGAAGAGCAGAAGCACCAGCAGAACTGCTGCCTCGAGCGACCCCCACCCGAGAGCGCGAGGCGGGATGCCCGGAGAGCACCTGGCCCCTTGGGGCCCGGCGGCCGCGGCATGCAGGGCGTGCGAGGCGGATCGGGAGCTCCTCCCTGAGAATCTGACGACCCCCGCCTGTCGCGGCCAGGGAGCACGCGGGAAAAATGCGGGGGGGAAAGGCTCACACCTCCAGTGCCGTGATGTGATCCGTCGACGGGCCCCCGGCGCCATGATTTTTCATGACGTGGATCCCCACAGGGCGACGAGATCTATACACATCATATCCACCGCTGCTGGCCAGGCCAGCGGCGGTGGACATGTATAGATCTCGTCGCCCTACCCCAGAATTCTGGACCCCTTCACGGGGACCAACTTCCCATCCTGAGCTGTTCTTTGACGGCCCCGAGGCCCGGAAAGGGCCCCTGGAGACCGAAGATTGTCAAAAGAGTCCATCGAGATTTTGTCATGGCCCGATGCGGTCTGGGTCCATTGGCCCCCGGATCCTTCGACTTCGCGGGAGCACAGCATCGTGCTGGGCCGTTCTACCGCGGCCCTGCACGGCCCGAAGCGGGGCTCCGGAGGCGGCAGATCACGGAACAAAAAAGGGCATGTCGTGGACAACGTTGCTCACGGCGGCGAACGGTGAGGGCATTGCTGCTGCTGGCTGTGTGAGCAAAGCTCCTACCGCATCTCAACCGAAACGCTGCTCAGAATAATATCAGAGGATATGGAAGGAGAAGTTGAGGACGACGCAAAGACGAGTAACACCTCCACCCGCACTGATACTTCAAACCGCCCTGCACTGCGCTGACATCGAGGGAATTCCAAGAGAAGAACGGGCCGCCTCCATGAAGTTCACCGGGGGCTCGTTGACCTTCCCGACGTAGCCCTTCACCGAGCACTTCCTCGCGGCGGACGGGGGGGGGCATGCTCCGTCCCACGCGCAGCGCGGCGCTCCAGACGCACGGTGTGCGACCTGCTGCCCACCGCGGCCTCCAGGAGAGGTTTAAGGAGCAACAACACAGGGGGGGGGGCAGTTCAGGGAGCGAAACATCGACTTGGCATCGGCGATACATCGCCAATAGGTCAGCGATCATCCAAAGCGAAACCGTGCGCTCTTGGGCAGGGCGGGCTATCAGGCCACTGTCGGCGAGCCATGGGCAGCTGGGGTTCGATGCGTCCCCCCTGAGCCCATGCCCCCCCTGGAGTTTGCCCCTCAGGAGAGGCTTCGAACCCCAGGGCCTTGGGCGGGACGGGCGATCGGGCCCCCATCGGAGAGCAAGGGGCAGCTGCGGGTCGATGCGTCCCCCCCTGAGCCCATGCCCCCCCTGGAGGTTGCCCCTGAGGAGAGGCTTCGAACCCCAGGGCCCTGGGCGGGGCAGGTTATCGGGCCACTATCGGCGATCAATGGGCAGCTAAGGGGTCGATGCGTCCCCCCCTGAGCCCACCCTCCCCTAAATCGGCGACTCCGAAGGGTTTGGTTTGCAAAGGGTGTGGTTTGCAACCTCCTCCTCCTCCTACCTCTTCTCATCCTCCTCATCCTCCTCCTCCTCCTCAGCATCATCATCATCATCATCATCATCATCATCATCATCCTCATCATCATCATCATCCATCATCATCATCATCATCATCATCATCATCATCATCATCATCATCATCATCATCATCATCATCATCATCATCATCATCATCATCATCATCATCATCATCATCATCATCATCATCATCATCACCATCATCATCTTCATCAGCAGCAGCATCATCATCAGCAGCAGCAGCATCATCATCATTATGCTCCTCCTCATCCTCCTCCTCCTCCATTCCCCTTCCGCCTCCTTCTCCTCCTCCTCCTCCTCATCATCATCATCCTCATCCTCATCCTCCTCCTCCGCCGCCTCCACCTCCTCCTCCTCCTCCTCCTCCTCCTGCTCCTGCTCCTGCTCCTGCGCCTGCTCCTCCTTCTCCTCCTCCTCCTCCTCCTCCTCCTCCTCCTCCGCCCATGGCGATCCGTCGGAGGCCCTGTAGGAGCTCTCAGGAAATCGTGTGAGCGCATCTCTTGGCTATGAAGTCTTTGTTCGGTTTTCATTATCGATCAGGGGGATAGAATTTGTTTGACCGAGATTTCTCCCGCCCTTCTCAAGGCCTTCCTTAAACGTGCTGTGATCAGGGGTTTGGAATGGGACCTGGGGGCTAAGCTTAATTTGGATGGCCGTGCGTGTGTCGACGGTGTTTTGCAGTGGCTTCGGAGCTCTCGGCTCACTCCCTTCGAGAAAGGTTGTGTTCGGGCTCTGTTCTGCGATGCGATTGATACTCGTCAGCGTGCTGTCAACTTAGGCTACCATATTGATGTGCAGTGCCCGCTGTGCCTTAGCTGTCCTGACACTTTAAGGCACCGTCTTTGGCACTGCGAGGCGGTGTCTCAGGAGAGGGGCGAGATTTTGAAGGGCGAGGTTCTCAAGTGGGCGGAGGAGTCGAACGATGCTCTGGCGTGCTTCGGGGTCCTGTTTCATCCTGCTGAGTACTTTCCCAAGCCGCTGCGCTCTGGGGGTATCCAAGTCGAGTGGGTCGCGGAGCCCGGCGAGGGGGTTACGGTGGACAATGTGTTTGTCGGGGATATCTTCGGCGACGGTTCTTGCTCGCGAAGGGTGATGAGGGAGCTGAATCGTGCTGGCTGGGCTTTCTCGATCTGGAACCGTTCCACGGGTCTCGAGATCATTCGAGTTCGAGGGCCCGTGTGGGCCCCCGTTCCGCAGACCCCTCAGGCCGCCGAGTTTTTCTGTTATTCGATTTCCCAGCAATAGTCCAGCGGGGAGTGTGACAGATGTTTGGACTGTCAGAATTGTGGATTTCCATTCTTTGCCGTGGGCTGAGCAGGCGTCGCCGAAGAGAGCTTACGCGGGAGTGGCCCAGTTCTGTCGCCCTTTTTCGGGCCGTTGTGCTGTGCATAAGGTTCGTGCTCACCAGTCGGCCAGCGAGGATGAGGATTGTTGGTCGGCTTACCTGCGTGAGGGTAACCATGCTGTGGACATTTCGGCCAAGGCTTCTGCTTTAATTCATCCTGAGCCGTGTCCTGAGGATGCGGAGAAGCTGGAGCGCTCATTGCGAGTTGCCAAGAAGGTAGGGATCTTGGCGGCTAAGATCATGCCCCTGTGGCCCAGGTTAGTGATGGGTCCTGAGGTGCCGCGAGTGCCCGTGCCGCCGCCGCCGCCTGCCGCGTCTCACGACAAGAAAGGCCATGTCTGGTCTTGGACGGGTCGAGTCTGGCAGTGTGTATCTTGTTTCCGCGGGTCCAGGTCCTCTGCGAAACCTCCCAGGGGCTCCTGCCACGGTGGTCCTGGGGTCGGGATCCGAGGTTTCGATGCTCCTGCTTTGTCGGCTCTGGGGCACAAGATGCTGTTTCTCGACGCCAGTGATGGCAGTTTTGTTTATGTCTGCCTCCAGTGTAAGTTTTACACTGGAGGCGGGCAGATTCGAGGTTTAAAAGAGTCGTGCCGGCCCCTGCCGAAGACGGGGGCCTAAGGCAGGCGCTTGTCTTGGAAGCGCATCACGCAGGGTTTGCACCCTAAAAATTGCGGCGTTTCGGTCGAGGTCGGCCCCTGGTGCGACGATAAGGAGGAGGAGGTCCCCGCTTCCCTCGAGCCTCCCCCCCCCTTCGGAGGTGGAGGACGATACTCGCGCCCTCAGCCGTGTGTCGGAAGACATTGCGGCTGCTCGAGGCGGCGAGCGGCGGTCGGTCCCGAGGCTCTGCGTCTGCGGTTGCCGATCCCGAGTCTGGGTCCGATTCATCCATTTTTTTTGAACAGGCCCCTTGGCGGAATCGCCCGCCGCCTTGGGTGTAAGAGGGCAGCTTGGTGCCGTGCAGGCAAAACGATCCTCCTCCTCCTCCTCCTCCTCCTCCTCCTCCTCCTCCTCCTCCTCCTCTCCTCCTCCTCCTCCTCCTCCTCCTCCTCCTCCTCCTCCTCCTCCTCCGCCTCCGCTTCCTCCGCCTCCGCCTCCTCCTCCGCCTCCTCCTCCTCCTCCTCCTCCTCCTCCTCCTCCTTCCTCCCCTTCCTCCTCCTCCTCCTCCTCCTCCTCCTCCCCCTCCCCCTCCCCCTCCCCATCAACGAAGATTCTGGACCAGAGCCCCCTCTTCGAGTTTTCCTGAGAACTGAGAGCAGTAACAGAGATGGAGCGGTTCCGCTACCGCCCCGGCTCAAAATAAACAGGATCTCTGCTCTGGCAGCGGAGCGTCCGGCCCCCGCGCGCGCGCGGCGCCCAGGCCATACATCGGCGGCGCCATGCACCAGCACGTGGACAACTCCACGATCACCGTGACATACTACACGGTCTACGTGAATGTCCTCACGACCTACAGGACGATCGACCGGCACGAGCTGAAGGAGATCAAGACTCCTGTCAGGTTCAAGTACCACATCGGGCATCAAGATCACGATCACGACCACTACAGTTGGTGTTGCAGCTCATTATATTTCAGAGTGGGACGGTATCATCACTCACACCCGGTAGGGACTACGGATACACCTCTTCTTCGGCGCCATTGACACTGGAGACATCATCATTCATACCTGGTAAGGATTACGGACTTTCTTCTTCTGTATCTCTGACACAGGAGACATCATCATTCACAACAGGTAAGGACTACGAAAACTTCTCTTCTTCAGCATCTTCGACACAGGAGACATCATCATTCATAGTTGGTAAGGTTACGACAATTTCTCTTCTTCGGTATCTTCGATACTGGAGACAACATCATTCACAACAGGTAAGGACTACATCAATACCTCTTCTTCTTTCAAATCAAGAGAAACGATGACGACACCATGGAGTGAAACGTTATCGCTAGAAGAATCGACTGCGGAACACGCCGCCAGGATGGAAGCCAGAAGTACCACGATATTCAGTACGCAAGTACCTCCAGAACCTCTCCATCTGGTGGCGCAGTAAGAACGAGCCTGACGAGACGGTTGCAGCACTACCAGTGCTATCACGATTTCAGGGTGGAGTACGGAGGCAGGCTGAGATTCACGATCGAGAGAGACGGCCTCAACTACGTCGGCGAGAATGCTTTCGCCCTACCAGCAGTGCTAGCGCAGCCAGCTCAGAACATCGAGGCCCAGCTCAGCGGACTTTCACAATTCACCAGGTGGCTTGGTCAAGAATACGGCCTTCACGAATAGGACAATGTGACTATCCACCTGGAGAAGTTCTTCGCGTTCCGACGTGGCCAGAGAGACCTGGCCCGATACATTGCAGCCTTTGAGATGGTTTACGACGAAGCGTCGGAGACGGCCGGCTTGGAGATCAATCAGATAGGACGCTCGCACCTGTTATTTTCGGGCAGCGAGCTGCCACAACGGAAGATCGAGGACATCAAGCTGAAAGTAGACGGCGATCTGAACAGGTACGGAGCGATTAAGGGCCTACTCAGCAGGATGGCGAAGTCCGACCAGATCAAGAACTATCACGACGACATCGGCGGCTTCTGGCACGGAGACTACTGGTATGACGACGACGATTGGCATTCCTGGGAAGATCATGGTACCCACTGGGGCGACACTGACTTGTATGATGACGATTGGAGCTCTGGATGGGAAGATCAATCCTGGGGGACTTCGACCGACCAGGAGTATGAGTACAAGAACGAGGACGGCACCTACAAGGGCAACAAAGGCAAAGACAAGGGCAAAACCACAGGCGGACAAGGGTGTTCGAAATGCGGCTCCAAGTGGCAACACACACCAGATTGTCCGGCCAAAGGAGATCATCATAAGAACAAGAACTCGGACCAAGAGGACACCAGGAGCGACAAAGGCTCTCCGTCGGGTAAGAGCGAAAACCAAAGGTAAAGGCAAAACGAAAGGCAATAAAGGCGGCAACAGATACGGCTGGGAACCCCGCAGGA